GAATTTCATTCCTGGTAATAAAGTGGTGCTCACCACATTATTTCTCTATCATCCATTTTCCGGGATAATATTTTTAGGAAGAGACTTCAAACTGTAAACGAATTCTTCACATACCACCGGATCTGAAATATGTTTGATTATATTTTAAACAATTGCTGTGATTTTGTTTTTAATAATTGTTTAATAAGTGAAGTGATTTCAAATTGTTTGAGAATTATTCTTCTGGAAGATTGATAATTATAAAAAGGTAATAATTATTCATCATAATTATGTAATACCATAAGTTATATTACTTTGCTGGAAAAATTTGGCGATTGTTATGACAGCTTGTTGCTTAATAAATTCGTCAATGACATTTTTCATCAAAACTTTCGACTCGTAGGTATTAAAGCAGCAAGCTGGATTATGTCAATCGACTGATATTTCCAGGAACAATAGTATAACGAGTTGTATGACTATTTCACGATTGAGACAATAAACGAGCGCCTCTAGAGAGTTGCGCACACTGCATCCACCATTCTGGCTTCCAACATAATTGACGGTTTGAATGTCTGAAGTTTTTTTGCTGTAAAACGAGGTTGGTTGGTCGCATGAGGACAATTCGACTTTTGTACTGGTAGAGCAAGTCCAAGTAGTAAACAAAAAATATCGTTGTAATACAGGAGTAACCGTGAAAATGGTCGATTCTGATTGGTTCTCGAGAATAAGAGTGTACACCAGGAATAAAATTCGAAAATTGAATTTAATAGCGTTCATGAATTGATATTCAGATTCAATAATAATTGACTGTATGATAAAAATTCAGTTTCGAAAACCGTAAGGCATTGATGATCAAATGTTTTTCAGAGACCGAGTTGATATAAATAAAAAGTGAGATAAGAAAATGAGGATAATTCTCCATAAATTTTGATTCACCAGTGGCACCCCAATGAATTATTCAGAAGAATTGATGAAATGATACCCAATATAGCTCCGACAAATTTATGGAAACGGAATAATCATATTGTTGATAGTAACGCGCTCAACGATTCTAGAATGGATAACATAAACATTTTTAAATTGGTGAAGTTAGACTTGTTATACGTTTTACCTCAGACACCCTGTATAAGTTGCGTTACTAAGATGAATGCGAGAATCTGCCTGAAATTCGGTGTGCTACGTACGTAAAAATGTAGGCAATTCAGAGCGATGTTTCTTTTTCTGATGTCTGGTACCTATTTGTTAACCATATTCACATTGATATTAAGCCGTTTCCAGTACACGTTGAGTAAAATCCGTTGACAAGGAGGGCCGATTGGTATTCTTTGTCTTCGATGGTCGTAGGCAGATTCGCGCATTCAGCAGAGTATATGTATTTCTGTAAACTTTAGTGCCTTCTCGAACATCGGAGGGTATGCTATCCGTAGGGTGCCCGCTTCGTCGAGCGTTCGCTGGTTGTCATCGAGAAGAGTAGGGGTTAGATTTCAGTGCTCACTAGTGTCAAAAAGTTTAAAGGTGTGTGCAGGCTGTAAGCTGTAGAGCCATGCGAAACTTGAAAGTTCTAGACCTATAGTGTTGAGTCTTTCTGGAAAATATGTCAATTCCTAAACAAATAACAAGAAGCCATGACATCAGGGAGTACTTTGAAAAATCAGTCTAGAAAGTCCAAGGAAGCTACACCTCTCTGTCTGAAGTCGTTCTGTTATTTGGATAATAATATCTCATTAAATGTCAGAAGTTTACGCGGTAGAAAAAGAACGATAAACGGCTGGCTCCTTTGGAAACAAACTCTAGACAAGCGAAAAATTTAATAAGAGCGGGACATATAATAAAGAGAATGCTTATTCACCTAGCGTCCTGGAGACATTCTGAATCTTACAAAGAAGCAGTAATTCCTAGAATTTCTCTTGGTGTAGTGCATAGCAATATAAGGGGACACAATAGATCTTTTAGGTCGCAGTGTACTCACCTCTTATGCATACAAAACAATACAGGGTGTTAGATTATGATCACAACTCAATAAACACGAACACTATCACAAATTATAAGATCACTTATGAATCAGCATTTGCATATGTCTGTGATACCCGTTTAGTGACATAAGCACATTCCACTGCGAGCAGTAGCGTATCTGATTGCTAGACACGGCCATCCTGAAATTGCAGATTCGTTGAACGAAAATCCAAAATAAATATCGTGCAATCGCCAATACATTCGACAACTGGAACAATAAACGTCCAGTATATTCGATCAGGTACCTGATATTCAATCGAAATACCAACGTTACACAATCATCGGCGCCCTTCGGACAAACAGTGGAAATTCTAGATTTCAGGTTCGAACACGAATCTCTTTCATTCTGGCCCCTTGTACTGTTGGTTTATCGGTATTGCTTATCTTAAACCACTCTTGTACTTATAGTTCAATAAAAACATCATTACGCCGTTAATGCTTTACGCAAAATAAATAAACACATGGCTATTTGTTTTGCATTGAAATCGCCGAAAAATAGCCTTTTCTCACTTCACCAATGCACTGGATAATTTTTTTCTCACTTCTGATCTTAGTTTATGAACACAATTCAATAAACACGAACACTACCTCAAAGTATAAGATGGACATGAGGTATGCTTGTTCGAAGTTCGACTGCTCGTCGAACACTAATGAACCAGCATTTGCACATGTCTGTGATATCCGGTTAGTGACATAAGCACATTCCACTGCGACCAGTAGCCTATCGAATCGCTAGACGCCAACACAGGATTTGAAGAAATGAAACAAAAGGTCACAGTACTGAAGGGCTATAGTCGATCGAAAAACTGTAGAATCTACTAGGTAGGTACATCATTACTTGTGACGGATACTAACGATTCCAATGAAGTAGGACGAAATGTCATTACTACAAACAATAACGGAAGATGTAGTGTCAAAACGGATTTATATACAATCGACTGTCAGTCAAAGTAGCGTAGTGCAATCGATATGTGAAAGAATCGTTCGTACTTATGCGCAAATGGTTTTTATACAGCTTACAGTTCATATCTTTGAACTTATCGCTGCTAGGTGGCATTGAAAAGATCAGTCCCTCCTACTCTTTTTGACCTCGATTGATGACATATCTTCGAACAGCTTACGTGTACCGATCGTCAATTTGTGTTGTCACCTAGTACAACCATTGAGGCTTGACAAACGGAAATAGTCGGTCTTGCATCAGTTGACGGTTGATACACACGTCACTAATGGAATATTAATTCTCCATCTTGAGATTAAGAGTTCATTGATCCAATACAATACTTGAATTTAATGTTCTGTTTATCTATAATCCAACAATGATATTGAAGTATGAACATCAACACTGTGATAAAAAAATGATAAATTTGAGCACATTTCCTTTTTGTCAACAATTTATATAATTTGCAGCATGAGTGATTGAGAGCATTTCTCAAAAAAAAAAAAATGATTCATTGTTTCACTCTTTTATCACATTTGAAATATTTGCTTTTAGGCTTTGCTGTATGTGTCCTACCTACTCATTTTTTCAATTATTGATGATTAACGATGCTAGTACAATTCATTGCACAATGTGCTGATGGACTAGTATTCATAAATCATACTGGGTTCATTTTAGCATTTTGAACCAAACGAGATGTTGAAAAATTAATTGTCAAGGATGTCATATCGAATGGATTTGAACTTTGACAGAATGTGTATAATTCTGAGAAGTGAAATTGGCTGTTTGTCTTCATCATACTATTTATCCTTTTATGATATTGTTGAGGCCAAAAACACCTATTGAATGATTTTTTAAATTTTATAGATGGCAATATTTCTTCTGGTTGATATTTTTAATTAATAATTTCTAGTTCACACTAATGAGCAGTTGATTGCTAGCTTCGATAATAATTAATAATTATAGTCTACCGGGCCTTCTGAGTTGATGGGCATTTTGTAGTTACTCATGAAAATTTATTTTGCATACCTGCAATGATATTAGGTTTATTCTTCCACAAGCAATTGATCTGTTCTGATCAAAAACAATACTTTTACAGAATAATGTATTCTCATTTATGATATGGGTTTTATGGAACGATGAGTACATGGCAGATGTAGTATTGAGTAGTTAACTTACTTAGGTAGTAGGTTCATGGTTGCCATTTTATTTCAGGGTTATTAGTATGCACCTATATTTATCTTCTCAAGAATCAATAAAATCTGAATATTTTGTTAGTTGATGATTCTAGAAAAATCTGTTTCATTAAGTATTGCTACTTATTTTCGTTGATTATACTACTGCTATTTATTTAATATTTGCAATGTTTCTTTTGTGATTCTGATAATAATATGATTCTTCCTGCTAAAGGTGATATTTTTTATGTTTCATTGAATTATATTTTTCATTTGGTTTTGATTTTGAAATTACTCTGACAATAAATTCAAAAGCAATTATATTGGTGCAAACTAACCTGACGTCTGAGCCAATGATATATGAGTTCAAACCATACATGCTCTATTTGAATTTATTTTCATCAATTCTAGTTCTTGAAAATTAAAGATGGGACTAGCAGTGGTCGCGAATTCAAGTACCCAACAAAGCAGACATTTTTCACTTCTAAAGCGAGCTATTGACACCACTTTTGTGAAATGAACAAACATATTATCCGCCAAAGTTTCTGCTGCAAAACATGTACCGAAAGTTCCTTTGAAACACAGGACAATCAACAACACTTCACAATTGAAACATTGCGAATATGTTTTGAAGGTTTATTTTATTAGACACTAGCAGTCATGAATGAAATCGGACTGTTCTTTATAAATGCTATATTATATTTTCATCTTGAATACTTCTATCTATTCGTGTATCAATTATTTGTTTATATTTTTTGTTTATGTAGATTGAATTAATTTATTGGGTCCCAATTGAGTGTGATGGTAGTGTTCTGCTTAATCCAAAATGATTTCAATCAGTGTGACTGGTAGTCTTCCTTTGCAGATTTCCGAGCACTTTCACTCATAGTTTTCAGTCCGTACTCGTCACAAGCTTCAAGCTGGTCAGTTGTAGTGTTGCTTTGGGAATGTGCTTAGAGGCATGTTTGTCCTCTGTTGTAGTCAATAACAGTAATGGGTGAATTCTTATGTAACATTTCGTTGAATTCAAATATAAAATTGTTCAGAATGCGAGTCCTATGAAATGACCGATTAGGACTATGTACCATAAACTAAAACAATGTCGAGATCAATTTTCGAAAATTGTATACATGGAAACCGAAAGTCTTCTCCACAACTTTCATGATAAAATATAAATCATAAAGGCATCTAATATAATAGACTGTTGGCCCGCGACACAAGGTTTATCGATGTTCTAAGTCGGTATGCCATTTAAAGGACCCACTCACTTAGTCCATGTTAACAGGAAGGAGTGCCTCGGAGAGTCGCAACCCAGTCCTTGCTCCGGCCCTGACCTCACCTTTCGGTTGGAAAAAAGTTCAAAATTTTGTTTAAGAAGAAGCTCGGCAATGAAGTGCAATGATCTTATCTCACGAAAATTGGGGCGCTTGCCGGTTTGCATACGCCTAGGTCAGTCCCCAAGGGCGGCATACGAACCGAAAGTGGCAATTTTTCAGTGTTATAGTCGATGATCTGAGAATGTATGCCCTTTGGCAAAACAATGAATTGAGACCCATTAATCAGTTTCCCGACATTTGCATACGATTTCGGAGAGGGGTGCTCGACTTATTCGAACATCAATTGACTAGACATTTTTCAAATAATCGATGATTTAAGTTCGTATGCAAATCTCTGGACCGATAAACTAGGATATTCTGTATAACTAGATGCTATTTGCATACGAATTCAATGTGAGCATACGTTGTAATAATCGGGCAAACCCGCGCGCGTGCCTCGGTCCGGCGCGGCGCCCCGCACTGCAGGCCAGAGGTGCACCGAAAGCGATCTAGATAATCTGGAAGTCTCATAGATTGAAGATTAACTTCCTGGGAGTGATGGGGGTATTCGATGACGCAAATTGCAGATATATTTGTATAAATTCATCAGAAATTTACAGCTCAACAAAATTACATGTGTGAGAGGTTTAGTACCAAGAAATTTTTTTGTGTGATTTTATTTTGAAAAACGGCTTTGAAAAAATGATAAAAAAAATTTACGACAAAATACTCAAGAGGGATCGTACAGGGAGAAGAGGGGTGGATTATTGCTCTTGATCGAAACTCACAATAAATCGAATTGAAATTCTTCCCTGGGGCTTATGGGACTGCTCATCATAATACTGGCGTTCAAAAAATACATAAAGAATGTTCATTTGATTTGTTGAATGTTTTGGGTATAGTGTGGGGTCTGTATCCTGAACTTTAATCTACATTTTTGTTTTTCACTGGTAGGCGAGGTGGTAAGAAGTGAATAAATCTGTAATATTATGCATTATACAAAAGTAAATGGTTTTTGAGATATTTAAATATCAGATCTCCGATAAAAGAGAAAAACATTATTGAATGCCTAAATCAATACGTGCTACACTCTACCCGGCTGACGCAGCAAATCATTGTTCAGATATGAAAATCGATTCAGCAAAAAAAAAGAAAATACTTCAAACCCGGGATTCATATTTCTGTCACAATTTGACAATTTGACGCATGATCGCCATAAGAGTGCTGTGTGTAAATGATATCGCTAGATGCTGTAGAGCTGTTATTCGTCATAATAATCTCAACGCGATAGTGAAACAAAATATAGTGTTCTAGTAAAAAAAACAAAACTAACTCATAGTTCATTTTTTATGAACAGCCTGTAAATTTTGTAATATTAATGAAAAATCTCTTAGGAAAATCGTCTTGATAGGTTTTTGGAATTTTAAAATCGGCTCAGAAACAACTAAGTTACTATGGGAGATATTTATGGCGAACCACCCTGTACGGAACGTGCGAATTGTATGCAAACCATCATCTCATGTGTACTGTGTGGTCCACTAACCATGGTCAAAATTTGAACATTTCTTCGATTATCGATTATTTGGAGAATATCCAGTCAAATGATGTTCGAATAAGTCGAGCTCCCCTCTCCGGAATCGTATGCAAATGTCGGGAAATTGATCAATGGGTCCGAATTCATTGTTTCGCCAAGGGGCATACATTCTTAGATCATCGACTATAACACTGAAAAATTGCCACTTCCGGTTCGTATGCCGCCCTTGGGAAGTGACCTAGGCGTATGCAAACCGGCAAGCGCCCCAATTTTCGTGAGATAAGATCATTGCACTTCATTGCCGAGCTTCTTCTTAAACAAAATTTTGAACTTTTTTCCAACCGAAAGGTGAGGTCAGGGCCGGAGCAAGGACTGGGTTGCGACTCTCCGAGGCACTCCTACCTGTTAACATGGACTAAGTGAGTGGGTCCTTTAAATGGCATACCGACTTAGAACATCGATAAACCTTGTGTCGCGGGCCAACAGTCTATAATGAAAACCCGACATTTTTCTCGATTGAAACTTATTACTTACACTCATAACTTTATAATAATATGGACAAACAAGAAGCATTTGTCTGTGTTTTGTCCATTTCAGCCTACACTAGTTGAATTTTATCTTGTTTCATTTCCATAACTATCAACATTTTATTTGGCTGATGATGGGCTTATATATGCCCGAAATATGTACCTTTATGATTGACCTTTGATCTTTCAAAATTTAAGTGTGGAGTTGATTTTGGACTTTCATGTATGAACTGTAAATTGCCATGAACTTATTCCAAAGCTTTGTTTGTCTCAAAGAAGATTATTCCTTGGTTTCCGATGGTTAGGCATTTTTCTCTTTTCATTATTTTCGCTTCAAACTGATTCATCTTGATTAGTAATCCTTCCATTAAACAGTGAATTTCTTTTTTCATGATGCCATAGCTTTTTTGTAAAGTTGTTAATATTTTCTTTGAAATAAGAATTCTTGAGGAAATTTACATAAGAATAAGACTATCCTTGTCTATTTTGGAATCGTAGATCATAGCCTAAAATTATTGTTACTATAACCAATATGAATATGACATATCCTAATCATTTGTTATGAAATGAATATTTTGAAGACGCTAAAAGTGCTGACTACATAGAAATGAACATGTATGGCATAAGTTCAAAAGCATTTAGGTATTGAAAAATAAAAATCATATCTGCAGCATTTTCGTTCTATTAGTCTATGGACTTTGCATTGTAGCCCAAGAGCCAGGGGAAACATATATGATTTGATGAAGATTACCCATACATTAATTTTGTTACTAAGAATTACGAAAACGAAAGTATGGCAGCCCACAGTGAACTTGTTTTGGTAGGAAGGTTTGAAGCAGGGATACATTTTCAAAAATAATTGATTTGATGAAAATTTTAAACTTTTGGAATGAAGTTGCCAGAGTTGAGTTAGTTGAGGTTACAAGAATGTCATACTATTCCAAAATCGATATGTTTGTGACTAATTTTCAGCGAGGTGGTAGTTTACATACAAAATAATGAATTACATGGATGTCTTCTTATTTTCACAAATAATTTGATGAATGCTTTTTTTTAATGGAAATGATATTGCCACACCAATTTGCTCCTTGAAAGAGATAAGCTATTAATTATTTTGTTATTCCATATTCGGATAGAGATGGGCTTACCAGTCAGCGCTACGGAGCTTGACGTCTATGTCAATGTTAATATTACCCAAATTTTGTTGGATAGCTTTAAACGCTACGTACAAATTCCAAAACTCAAGTGGTATGACACTTTCAAAATGTTTGGAAGAAGGCCATGGTAACTCAAAGTGGAGTGATGTAGTTCATTTTATTTTATCATATTATTAGAATGATCAAAGATCAATCGTAACGAAATATGTTTCGGGCTTATATGTATAAGCCCATCATCAGCCAATAGAAAGTATCATAGCTATGGAAATGAAAAAAGTAGACATACAAATAGTATAGATAACAGGGCAAACAGGGAAATATGCTCCATGATTGTCTTTAAAATGATGTAAATTTATTATAAAACTTATTTAAGTCCGAAATGTGTTCCGTTACGATTAATCATCTAATGAAAGTTGGGAAGATGACTTTGAGTTTTCATCTGTGGACACTTTCATAACCTTACAAACTTGACTTTGGTAACTATTCCGAAAATTCTCAATTTTCATATCAATTATTATGCTTGCTGCCATACAATGGTATTTGTGATTGGTATTTACAAAATTAACGAATGGTATGGCATATGGGCTATTATCTTTGCTTTTGGTGTTGTTTTCTACGTATTATATTTTCAGGTATAGAAAATGTAGAAACACTTTCTAGAAAAAATTTCATGTAATTAATTGGTCATCAACCAAGTGAAAAATCATTCTTCAGGATAAAGTTCTTACATTTTCTAGTGCTTTTCTAGTGACTAGTGGTTTAGTGCAATGATTTGAATGTTCCTGTGCTGATTGTGTTGTTTTTTCTTCTAGAATAATGTTCTTTTAGTGAACACTATATGAGAACCTATATCGATCTTTTCATTGTGTGTGATACGTGCGAACAATGTTGCCTTAGTGCTGTGGTGGCTCAAAGGGAAGGTAAAAAATGTTTGAATAAATAAACTCTATTTCTCGTTTGCTTATTATAATCCCATTATTTCTATGTTCTAGATTTTATCAAGAATTGTCTGATGGCCAAATAAGTTGATATGCCTAATGAACAAAGTCTAACAGTATTGAATGACCGGTATTATGGATTATATTATTTGGTATTATAGTCTTGGATTACCTTGTAGTTATTATTTTGTAATAATAAATGTATTCACAAGAATAATAGCATTTCATTTCGAAAAGGTTTCAGTCAAGTCCTTCGGAAATCACTGCTATCATTCCATCACTAGCAATACCAGTCTGACAAACTCTACAAGTCCAGTCAGCACATCCTTTCGTAGTCAACCTCGAATTATTCATTCATTCATTGCCTGAAGAAGTATTTATAATCTCCAGAAGTTCAAAACAAATTCCAATACACAACTCCTCCCCCTATCCTCCTTAGGTCCGCACGATGTTCCTCGATCATTATAGGGATTTCCTTTCGTGCGTTCCTTAAGATTAAAGGGAATATATTTATACAGGGTGATGGATTAAGAATGGGAAATCCCTCAACTAGAGATAGTAAACAATTAAATATTGAGATTCAGCCAAACATGCCTGATACGAATGTTGCTGGTTCAGGAGATACAGGGTGTTCTTGGAGATTTTATTTTGAAATTTCTCAAAAACTTTGTATATTTCAACAGCATGCACATAAAATTCTGTAATTTCAGGTTTTCTGACATGAGAAATACAAATTTGTAACTTATTTCGTGATTGCTCATAGAGGGCGCTAGTGGCACGCTGTTACTTCGGTAGATTACATCACTTTTTTTTTTCCATTGAATGATGATCAAAACAAGTGAAAAATCTGAAAACCTGTTCAATTTCACACAAACAATGTACTCTTTTTCAAATTTTCTAGCTCCAACGGTTTTTGCGATATTCGCTCTTGAAGAGATTTATTTTCCACTAACATTTTAATCATTTTAAATTATAAAGTTAGCGAAGCGATAGTGGAAAAAATACAGTAATCAATGATGACAATCACTAACAACGCCAACAACAAACATAATTTCAAAGTAAATGTCCTACCAAAGTTAAGGAAACATTTAAAATAAAATTTTCCCTTGAACATTCTGTATCTGCAACATTTATATAAGGCATGTAGGGTTAAATCTTCATATTTTGGTGTTTACTATCTGTAGTTCAGAAATTTCCCATTCTCAATAAATCACCCTGTATAATATTGAATTTGTGAATGGATTGTTCAAGATCCCTATGAGTCCTTCTGACTCCATTAACAAACAGAACATTATCAAACAAATTAGACACAGCAATGGTTACCCTGCATATTTTATAGATACATACAATTTTCAATAGACATCTACAAAAATCCCTCAATCAGAATCTATCACCCTTCTTTTGCAAACCATATCCATAATTCAAACCACGTTCAACATTTGCCTCAAAGGAAGATTATTGAATCTGTTGGAAATTTATGAGATAAATGCTTCTTTGAAAGACAAGAGTGTAGTAGGTTCACTTAACGAACAGAATCATTTTGACAGTTTGAAATTTTTCAAGTTATTAAATTTTGCTAAACAATCATTAAATTGTCATCAGTTCTTTTCCTGCGTTGGTCTTCGACATATCCAAATATTGAGTATTCATTTTATTGTGTAATTTTAACTCAACCATATTTTTGTATTTTCACCTCTAATTTTCGCTCCTCTTTTTGTTGAGTATTCGTCTATTGGGGTTGTTAGACATTGCCAGGGTGTCTCATCCCACTTATCTTTTCTGTTGATATGCCTTTGTTATCTTCAAGCCTAGTCAGATGACTTCCGTATTCCGTCGAGTACATAGCAAGATGGACATAGATACGTTCCCCCATTTTGTAGTGTTACAGATGTGCGGCGGTCTTTTCAGTGGTTTCCACCAGATTTCTTAGATTTGGGTTTGTTTTGCAAAAATGAAATCCCCCCTTTATATTATTCACATTCATTCTAGGACACAATCAATGTAGCAACTTTTGATTAGGTTGAGGATGGACATATATATTTCCGAAACATGTACCAACTGATTTGATCGTTTGATCATATTAAAATGTCGTGGAGATGATTTCGAGTATTACTTAGTAGTTGATATTGAATTTCTTTGTAAATTGTATTGAATTAGATTAGTAAAATTGTTGAATTATCGATGCAGTCCAACTATGAAGACTAGTAAGTAATTAGTAAATTGTAAATCCTGCAAATATCAAATTAGTATCTTGGGTATACAGGGTGTCCGTAAAGGTCATGTCGTAAATGATAGGGCTGATAGAGTGAGCCAAAATAATGTCAGTACTTCATATATAACAATTTCTATCGTATTTCGTTACGGAGTTATTGATCTTGAAAGTTTGAATTGAAAAAATGTATATAACTCTCGAACGGTTACCATGGCAACCGTTCAAAAGTGATATTCAGGCAACTAAATTAACTCATACTCATACATACTCCGTTCCATATGTAAACAGCTGTCGAGCGATGATGTTTTTATACAGGATGAGACGAATCTGTTCCGTTTAATGGAGACATTTTTCACAAAAGTGATAAATTAGACATTTTATTCCTTCATCTTTTTTGTACAAAAATCGTATACTTTATTTTAATCAATATCTTGTACCGTTCTAGAGAAAATCACATACATCCCAACCGTTCTGAAGGTGAAAAAAACTCTATTTATTCAATAAGATCATGGTGGTTGCAGTCATTGTCAAAATTGACATCAAATTATTTTGACACTGGTAACACCATGGATGAGTTTAGTAATGATGAGTATGCAGATATGCACCTGATGTATGGACTTGCAGAAACTTTCAAGGCCAATAACTCCGTAACGAATTGCATTAGACATTTTTTGTTATATAAACTACCAACATTATTTTTGCTCACTCGTATCAGCCCTATTATTTACGACATGACCTTTCCTCCGGACACCCTGTATAAACTGTTGATGATTAGGGAATCTGACTAGATTCGGGGTGGGAGTCATTTTGGAAGCAGCAGTTCCACGTAATCTTTTTAGTTGAAGTCGAGTGTTACTCCTCAATCCTTTCTCTTTCGTATTTATTATTTAAAAACTGGTCGTTTGAGATCTGACGCTTCGAGATATTTCTGAAATCCTAGTCATTATGAAGCCTTTGTTGGGTCAGTTTCACCAAGGTATGGCATCAGAGTCGCAGTGAAATACCTTCTTTGGCCTAAACTAGATTTTATCTGTAAAACTCGACCAAACGGAAGGACATGTTTTTATTTGAAACCATATTATGTAATGTTGTCATTACTGACGTCATTGAAGGTTCGGAAGTGTCACATTACACACCTCTACTTCCCGCCTTCACTTATGTAATATTTTAGGTATCTTCAGAACGAAACAGAGATTTATTAATTTTGATCGAAATATGATGGTTTTAAATAAAATACTATACACACCTCGGTAGAAAGTTTCATTTATGTATCGAGATCATAGCTAACCTCGATGCTTTGCGTCTCGGTTAACTAACTAATCTCACGACAGGAATGAATCTCTTTCCACCTCGGTGGTCGAGATCATGAAAAATACTACAATTGAAATTCAATAGATTTATCAAGACAAATATGGTTCCGAGTGGTCAGTTCAAGTCGATTCGGTAGAAAACCTGAAATAACCAGAATATCAATGAACCCTTCATTGCAAAATTTCGATATTTTCAAATTCATCTCGCACCAACGCTTGAAATCACTTGTTCAATCGAATGTCACGGTAATTTGTGCATGAATAAATGAACTGTAAGTTGTACTAAACATCTTAGGCTCTATCAGTTTATGTGGCTTGTGGTATAATATATTTTTTATGTCAGACACTTGGCATAGAAAAAAGTGCATCGCTGTTGAAGCCTTCTACATATTCAATCCATAATAATAACATTTTTCCTGCTAAATGTATTGAAACCTTGAAGATGAAGAAGGTCACTAGTAATGACAATGTGTTGTATTTTTTTGCAGAATTTGTCACCATGATGACCTCAAAGTGAAGAAACCAGCAGTTGCATTTTCAGCTTTCCATTGTTTCATCCCGGCTCATTGTCTACATTTTCCAACATCTCGAACTATTTGCTTTGTGGCCGGGTCCACCAAAAGTGAATAACTTAATCGTTATTTAGTTTTCAAGACAAGTTTAATTAATACAAATATTTATGAATTAATATAATTGTGTAAATTTTTGTAATATATTTTTTTTTCATGGGAACGCACACACCTGACTGGTGTTGGCCCTGTACTGTATCAAACAAACTATGTGCTACGTGTCTAGTTGAAATTCAAAGAAATAATTCACAAAGTATGAATATGTACTTATAAATAATGATGATAAACTCGTTACAGTTGATGTTAGGTTGAGGGGATACAACATTAGACACTTTGATAATTTTTTTTTACATACTTTGTGATACAAGAATACATCTGTGCACTTGCTATAAAAGGAGAGTCATTTGTTATCTAAAATAGGTACTTCAGGAGTAGATAGAACATGAAAACGGGAGATTCTCTTTTAAACTGTATCTCGGAATTTGTCACTCGCCATATTTAAGAATCTGAGATAGTAAATAAGAACTGGAAAAATGTCGGGATTTACTACTCCCCCTGTACATAGGGCAAACTCCCATTAATTTTCCATCTGCTCCCATTAATTTTCCATCAGCTCCCAATGTTTTAGATGTGGATTTGACTTGTATAGGATGTATCCCTTTATTTATTAAGGATAACCTTTTCTCCTTGTATTGTAGGTCTCACGTTTTAAGTCCCGACATTTTTAATTGATAGAAAGTAGATATTTTTATTGCCGTTCCATTGAAATTGTATTTCTTTTGGCTCATTGCACGAACGATCGCTGTGAAAGATGCTGAAGAAAGTATGATTCGTACTAATTTTAGCATTTTCGCGGTATCAAACTTATAAAATTATTTGATGGGAGTTTATAATAATTTATTCAAATACTTAAGGTCGGTAACGCATCGGTTACAATGTGAAATTATTAGATGTTTAAATTTTAAATAAATGTGACTAAAATATATTTCATCCGTAAATTACTACTAGTACCCAGTATTTTATTATTACTATTATAGTTTTTTATGTTCATTTCTTTTATTTAAAATAAACATTACAGAAATTCAATAGTTTGTCAGTTACATATATTTCGCTGAAAAACCTTGAGATACTGCTACTCAAACCAAATAACTCCATCTACTGTTCTTGTCTTATTTATGAAAAAATACCTGAAAATGCTTGTTCTAGTCGAGAACATGAAACGCCGATCGGAATTTAAGGATTTAAAAAAATATACATCAGGTTGCCTGTTACCAAGTTGCTCCCTGTAAATGGGTTGTTATTCCATATTATTATGGTTCGTTATTCGGAACTAGGATATTTGATGGTATAATTTCATCAAAGTCTTTACCTATCTGAATATCATCCTACTTATTGAATTTTTGCAATACATACTAGAAACATTTTTTTCAGCTTATAATAGTTATTTATACACCAAGGTAGTGAAGAATATCATTATTACCCAGGAAACAAGATTATATCCCATGATAATAATATTCTTTACTACCAAGGTGTATATTAAATTAGTTTCACCACTATCATTATAGTTCTGCGAAATTGAAATGTGGACCTATGTCACTATGAAAGCACTTCTTTTCAATTCTAATTAAAATCTAGTCACCATGACAACATATTACAAGAAGTTATTGATGAATACCATACCTACTAGTTTTGTACCATTCTTGTGAATATCGCATCAGAACAGTGAATTCCGGTTAATTATAACAAGAATATTATAACAGAGGTTCATAAAATGACGTAAACCACCTTGGTAGTAAAAACACACTTTACGCCTCCGAAAGGGGTAAAAAATTGTATGTTCTATAGCTAGTGGTGGAAAAAAATAAGTACCCTTCCAACAAAATACATAGACTGAAAATCCGGAAACTTCCGGACGGACGCATTCGAGCTATATAATATACAGGGAGGGGTTTCGTGGAGGCATGCGTCTAACGACTACGGAAGAAAATGAACGAATTTCTTCTTATTTATAATGAACATAACAGGTTGATTATGCTTTTTCGTTACTATTAACACAATCATGTCAGTGAATGAAGTTGGTGAATAATTATTACTCGCCTGCTCCACTCCTACTTCATTCTTGATTCAATCTTAATTTGATAGTCAGAACGAAAAACTAAGATTTACTTCTAGATGTGTTTGATTATGACTTCCGAAAAGCATTTGACAAGGTCAACCATGATATTCTATTTAAAGAGCTATTTGAAAATGGAGCTAATCGGCAAACTCTAATAATTTTCTTTCTATCTGAGCAATATCGAACATACAAGGTAATATATAAAGGCAATCTATATGAAAAATTCAATGCTTCACTCTTGGGTGCCACAAGGTTTAAGGGTAAAGACACACGGAGCGGTTTTGGCCGAGTCGGCAGCCGACTCGGCAGTCGTCGAGTGAAAACACACGAGTCTGTCGCTGAGGCGGCATTTGAAACACTAAACGCTGAGATGTTGTCAGTTTGTTGATACCAATAATTATATCTGATGCGTAGATATGGAGTCTGATTCTGAAGAAGAGTTTCTGACATTAGTAGGACTGATTAATTTTCAATTGAAAAAAAAAACGAAACAGCTAGGCGTATATGGATACACCCACTTGTGCAGAATAGAATTGAAAAAAGTATGTTTTATACTTTATTCAATAATGAAATCGAAGGTGATGACGAGAATTTTTTTAATTTTGTTCGAATGTCTCAAGATTCATTTTATGAACTATTGAATCTAATAGAAGAATATATATATCAAAGCAAGATACGGTAATGAGATCAAGTATTCCGGCAAAAGAAAAACTGGTGATAACACTCAGGTAAGACACAATTTATTTTCGGTTTTTATTAGCTATTGAGAAAAATATTAGTACAAATGAAGCATGAACGTTACAAAATGAATGACAACGCATTAACTAATCACTATCTTGCGAGTCCTCTGGTGCAAAAAGTTCTACGAAAGACTGTATTGAATTGGATGGTGATTTCCATCGCAATTTGACAACAATGCCTATCTTCCGCCGCTGAAAAACCGCTCGCCGTGTGTATGCTCTCACTTGAAACAATTGTCTGAGCATACGCGGGAAGCAATAAAAACGCGTTCGGCACATCATCCAGATCATCGTACGCGCGGCAGCAGCGCTGCTCCATCACGCCCCATGGTCTATCTGTTTTGTTTCATTTGAAATACTGTGATCAGAGGCTGAGTCGGCTGCCGACTCGACCAAAACCGCTCCGTGTGTCTTTACCCTAAACCTTGGGCCTCTACTGTTCCTTATTTGTATCAATAGCTTGCCTGCCCACTTGAAATACTCTGTTTGACGATTTGAAGTTTTATAGATGAATTGAGAGTTTGCAAGATTGTCAAAAACGATATAAAATAGTATTTATCAATGGAGTGTACAAAAGATCTTCCTTTCAACATAGCTAACTGTGTGGTGCTACCTTGTACTAGGAAAAGAGAAACGATTGAGTACAATTATGCGATGAATGATGATGTATTCAACAGTCGAAACAGTCAATCTACGATTCCACACTCATTCAGAACACATATATAGAATATATAGCCTCACGAGTGGTTCGAGCTCTAGGATTCGTCCTTAGGCAAAGCAAATTGTTCAAAGAATCAAAGATATCGGCACAATAACTGTTGTACAATACACTTGTCAGACCAAAGATAGAATAGGTACTGCTCGGTATATGGCACCCTCAGGTTATATGGCACCCTCATCAATTTCTGTAGAAACATGCATACTCTAGAGAAAATACGAAACAAATTCCTGAGGAAGGAGGTAGAGGAAACCTGAAGAAATATAAAGTTTTCCCTGATATGATGTAATTCGAAGTGTGATGGTCCGAAAAGAATTCACAATAGAGGCAGTCTCGATGCTCGAAGAATCAGCAGTAGTGTTATAAGTTATAATGTGTCATAAACTGTACAACAAATTATACCACGCTCCGTATTTGCATTCTATGTTGAAAATAAGAGTACCCATTAGACTCACGACGCTTAGCCAGTTTTTATTTTTAAATTCCTCTGCGGTAACAATGAACAACTGCTCCCTTGTAATCTCCATGTTGAAGATAACGAATAATGTTCTCCTGTCAGAAATCAATATTGGTATTGGTAAAGTTGAATAAAACTTGTTATGTCACCCAAACAATCAACGGTTCATCGTTTATGCACCAAGTATATTGAAAGTATGAATTTTGAATGAAAAATTAGCTGATATCCTTGGTACATTAGGACTGATTTAATATTAATAAGTTTGTATATAGTAAATAAATTATACAAGAGGTGTTGATGAATAAGTGCAAAAAATTTTGGGGAGGTGATTCTTTGTCATTTTTTACCAAAAAATTATATGGAACAAATGTAGGGTGGGTGGTTCAAGATTCAGAATTCTGATCACTCTGGCCGTTTTTTCTGCACTTCTCTGTATATATTCCCATCAAACGCAGTATATCGTTGGATTCGTGATGCTTATCTCTATCCATATATGAAATAATAAACTGTCCCATTAACATTGATTAATTTTTATAAGCAGTCGAAAATAACACTATTCCTATATTCTGTTTTTGGGTGTGTAGATCTTGTTTAGAAATATACAGGGTGTCCCTGAACGGACTCTACAGAAACAAACCACATATTCCTCAGACCAAAACAATTCTATACAAGCAAACTTACCTCAGTACAAAAGTGCTTAGTTTGGACCCTAGACGGCTCTGAAGTAACAATTTTCAAATCGTTGTTGCTTCATGACTTTGAAACGGCTCATGAGATTTCACCCAAATATGGTAGGTACGTTGACATAGCTTTATTGGGCAATAAAACCCATATCATGGTTATGATAAATATCAGTCAATGAGCGTAGTACTTGATTTTTTTCAGTAAATAAACATCTGAAACTTATACACCAATGGAAAGAAAGGGGTTTGGATATGAAATTTGCATTGAGTGACTTGTTTACTACAAAAAAGGTACTCTTGATGAAAATCGATTGCTCTCATGGTTTAGAAAAAATTTGAATTTCAGTAATTCAAAGCATCAGTCAACATTAAAGCGATCAACAGATGTTTCATAAAAACTTTTTAAATTTCCACGTATACGAAGATTTGTACGACAAAAAAAATTAAAATGTGCTGTAAGCTATCGTGTTGTTTTTTTTTGTACTGAGTAAGCCAGAGCCGCGTCTAGCGCCCAGACTATAAGCAACTATGTACTGAGGTGAATTTGCTTGTATCCGTTTTTTTCGTCGTATAAATCTGGTATACGTGAGAATGATGAACATTTTGAACAAATCTCATAACATATCTGTTGATCGTTTCAATGTTATCTGATGCTTTAAATCACTATAATTAAAATTTTGTCAAAATCATGAGAGTAATCGAATTTTTTCAAGAGTACCCTTATTTGTAGTAAACAAGTTACGCAATCCGAATTTTATATTAGAACCCCTTTCTTTCCATTGGCGTATAAGTTTTAGATGTTTATTAACTGAAAAAATCAAGTTCTATGCCCCATGGAATAATATTTATCATAATATCATGACATGCGTTATATTGCCCAATAAAGCTATATGCCAATAACGTACCAAAACGGATTTGAAAATTGTAACATCCGAGCCGTCTAGCGCCCAAACTATAATAATAATAATAATAATAGTTTATTGCTTCTTAAACAAGTTTACAGCAACGAGTGTATGACAGAAAAAAAATGGATAATATGTATGTTTGTACTCTGGAAATGAATAAAAAAAAAAACGATTGAACATTAAAACCTACCAAGTACAAGTATAAATATCAATAGTTATAGAAGAAGAAAATAATACAATTATAGTTTATTCATTCAAAATAAATGATCTTAGCTTAAGGATATTCCAAATATATTCAGAAATTATTCTAGCATCACTGATTGTTATTTTTTGTAAGGCAATGATTAATGTTTCCAAATTCCTTAGACATGGAGCTCCTTGTTTCATGACAGTGTAGATCGGACAGTCAAAAATAATATGGAGGAGAGTTTCATTTTCGTTCCTGTTGCAAACTGGACAAATTTGATCAGGGTCAATGGAGTAGGCAATTCCGTTTAGGGTGAATTTAATTTTAAAGTGATTGGCCATACGTAGTTGGGCAAGAGTGCGGGTGATTTGGATGGGTAATTTCAATAGTAAATAAGTGCTTGGTACCCTGGAAGTTCCAAGCAGATTGTAAATATACAAAAAAGGGTAACGGGAAGATATTGAACGATCTGAGTCATGTAAGAATGTATAATATTTAGCATATAAAGTATTTCTATGTTTGAATAAATTATTATAATTCAGATCATTCCATAATAGCAAGGAGTCAGAATCGACAAAAAAATTTTTCATTTGCAAAAGCCAATTATATTTAGGGTCCGCGTAATTTATAATACGCCTTTGCTGTTCAAAACAAAGCCTTGGGTATCGATGTTTTTCCATGGACAGTATTTTGCAAATCCAGTTCACGGATATTTTAAGCACATTATAAGCAACTTTGTACTGAGGGAAGTTTGCCTGTATAGCTCTTTTGGTCCGAGGAATATGTGGTAGGTTTCTGTAAAGAACTTTTAGGGACATCCTGTATTATATGTATAGTTCTCCATGTTGAGCCGAACATAAAATCATATAAAACAAACGTCATATACAAGTAGTGAGGATGGTTTATTGGGAAAATACTCAGTAGATATGAAAATAAAAATGAGTTAATAATTTGAAAACATCTCTAGGTACAGACAAACATTGTGACCCTTCTCATCCAGTTCTCGGACAGGAACCTCGGTATCTCATTTGGACTCCTGTAAAACAAAACAATAATAATAAACAATAATAATCTCCATATAGCACGACACCACAGACGGAGACGACACGAAGTGTTTCTGATAATAGTGATAATACTATGTTCATCGCTATGCGTATACAGCGTGTCTCACTTTTAACGGCCGCCCTTTATATCTCAGTTATTAGTCATGCGATTTCAACCAAATTTGGTGTGGTATGAATAACCATCAATATGATCAGTTTCACAGAGATGCACATTATTTTGGACAGTGCCGTGCGTTTTTATTGAAATAAAAAGGGGTCGGTTCTTCATAAAATCATATTAGGCATTTTTTTACAGGAAATCTAACCCCATATTATTGTTCTCCATGCTTTCAAACCCCCATATGCAGAAAATCACCTAATTCCTAATTAACAGGATTGGCTTCATTTTTTTCATTTTCAGTCTCGCATAAATAGTGACTCCAAATCAACTACGAATTTAGGAACGTTTAATGGCTCCGGTAGGTGGAAAATCACGATTTGATGTTGAACTCACTGTTTCCGACTAAATAATTATTACGTTCGCAAAGATAAGATGTGCCTGTTTTTCTGAAACCCTTCATAGGCATCTTATGAAAATCCATATATGTGAATTTGAAACCATGAAGAATAATATGAGGTCAGTTTTCCTGTGGAAAAATGCCTAATATGATTTAATAAAAAACTGACCCCTATTCATTTCAATAAAAATGTCCGGCACTGTCTAAAATGATGTTTGTCTATGAAGAACTGGTCATATTAGTGATTATTCATACCTTCATACCGATACAAATTTGGTAAATATCGCACGACTGATAGCTGAGATCCAGATGGGGACAGTTTGAAATGAGACACGCTGTATAGTGGAAATGTATGGAATTACGCATATGAATTTGAAAAGAAATCCTGAGACAGGTCGATTTTTATTTTCAAATTGACACCTCTTGCGTAGTTGTGGTGACGTCATCGATTATTTTTTCAAATGGAAACATCACCATTTTATTTTTTATTTCGGAAGGTATATTCATCGTCTATCCAAAAATTATTAATTATTTCATATTCACAACGGAAACCGTTACAATAAATGTTCGAATTGGTGACCTTCTGCAATGATACAATGTGATAGACGGGCAACGAATTCATCTTGAACTTTGGCTATCGTTTCTGGAGATATTTGTGAAATCTTCGATCGTATTCGTTCTTTCAAATCATCTAAACTTTCCGGTCTGTTTCAACATAAACTTCGCTCCTCAGATAACCCCAGAGAAAAAAATCGAGTGGAGTTGAATCAGGAGATCTAGGTGGCCATTCGATAGACCCTCTTCGGCCTATCCATTGATCATGGAAAAAAAATATCCAGGTAATTCCGGACATCGATAGCATAATGAGGATGCGCTCCATCTTGGTGAAACCATAGGTCATTTCTATTTGGAAATTTTCTGTGTAGAGTAGGAATCAAATATTCTTGTAGAAATCGCAGATAGCTGGGGCCCGTTAAGTTTTCCTCAGAAAAATAGGGTCCTATAATTGTGTTATCCACAATTCCATCCCAAACATTGACCTTTTGGGGGTACTGGGTGTGGTCGTATTCTTGCATCCAGTGGAGATTTTCTTCGGCTCAATATCGACAGGTCTGGCGATTCACATGACCATATACAGGGTGATCCACGGTGGATGGCCTATTAGAAGTATCTAAAGTACGAAAAGACAGAACATTTCGAAAATTGGGCTGCTTCGATAATTGAACATTCTCTAACCGTCTGAAATATTTTCATCGATACAGTGTTGCCACTTCTTTCAGAAACAACTAGCAACTTTGTCATTTCAAACAGAACACCCTGTATTCCATTGCATTTTTAGATTCTTCCTGAAGAGCTGATTTCATTAATGCATCATACTTGGGGTCTAGCAGGAATGATTACAGAGATATAGGGTGTTCAAAATCGAAATTTTTCAATTTCAGGATTTTTTTGTGTCGAAACTATTCATTATCGATCAAAGCGGCTTACATGTCCCTATCTCTACTTTCAATTGACTATCTTTTGGAATTCAATTGGAAAAAATACAGGGTGCTTCAAGATTCAGAATTCTGATCACCCTGTATCTGTTCCAATTGAATGATGTCAGTAGATAGTGAATCGAGAGTTAAGATAGGGACATGTAAGCCGTTTTGTTCGATAATGAATAGTTTCGACACGAGCTAAAATTGAAAAATGTAGATTTTGAACACCCTATATCTCTGTAATCATTCCTGCTAGACTCCAAGTGTGATGCATTGATGAAATCAGCTCGTCAGGATTCATCTAAAAATGCAATAAAATACAGGGTGTTCCATTTAAAACAACGAAGTTGCTAGTTGTTTCTGATAGAAGTGGCAACACTGTACCGATGAAAATATTTTAGACGGATACAGGGTGTTCAATTATCAAAACATCCCGAATTCCAGAATGTTCTATCTCTTCGTTCTCCAGATACTTCTAATAGGCCATCCACCGTGGATCACCCTGTATAGTGAATGTAGCTTCATCGGAAAAGATTTTTTTTAACAAACAATAAGGGTTCCCTATCACATTTTTCCATTATAGTTTCACAAAAATCGACTCTTCGATCAAAATCGTCCTCAAGAAGTTCATGAACGAGAAACACTTTATACGGATGCTACTTTTCTCTTCAATATTTTTAGAACAGTAGTATGATCCATAGCATTGTCTAAACCTACTTGTCTTGTACTTGTGTGAGGATTCTCTCGAAATGTAAGTAGGACGTTCAATTTCTTATCTTCAGCGGTTTGTTTCCTACCACTTTTAGAAAGGTCTTGAACACTTCCAGTATCTCTGAACTTTTTCTCCACTTTGCTTACTACGGACTGAGAAATTCGTTCCCGATTTGGAAACTTGTAATTGAATAAATCTCTTCACACAAATGTCACCTTAAGCTTCATCAATCACGATATACATTGTTTCTGATGTATACAGGTCGAATTTTTCATTTATTGTAACGGTTTCCGTTGTAAATATAAAATAATTAATAATTTATTCTCACCCTGTATTACTTTATTTTGCTAATATCAGTATATATGGTTGGATGGACATTGAATATACCTTCCGAAACAAAAAAAAATAATGAGGGGATGTTTCCATATAAAAAAATAATCGATGACGTCACCACCAGGTGTCAATTTGAAAATAAAAATCGACCTGTCTCACGATTTTTTTTTTCAAATTCATATGCGTTAGAGAATGAATTCATTCCATACATTTCCATCATACTGTATGTTCCAAAGGCATATTACGTAATATGTGTTGTAAGAAGCATATTACGCACGAATGGAAAAGTTACGCACAGGGGCGTCCGGAGGGTGAGGCAAGGGGGGGCGCTCGCTCCCCCCCTCTCTAGCGCCTGGTCTTTACTCAGATACTTTCTGAACAGGATACATTTGCATTATCCAATTCCTACTCTGATTAGCGCTTATTATAGTGACTTTCTGAGACATTTTTTAATTATGGGTATTCATCGACATAGATAGATATAGAGTTGATTTTATCAACGAAGTTATTGATAAATTTGCTCAAGACTCTATAAGAATGCCATTTTTGTCTGAACAAGATTATGATTATTAACACGTGCAATTTTTTATTGTAATCTTGGCTGTAAACAGAATAATGTGGTGTCAATTCAATTAATTTTCTTTATTTTTTATTCCATGTTTTATGTAGAAAAATAGTAGATTATATATCGAGAGAGTAAAGTGCATATTATTTTTCCAGAGGTGGTTTTGTAGCCAGAGGGTGCTTCAATGCTCTAAGGGAAGAAAGAACTCACTTCCGAGGTTTATATCAGGGCCTACTGTATCTCACCGGGCCGTAGTCTATCCCCTCTCTCTCGACGCTGACGTCACACTAGTAGGTTGAGATTTCACATCAGTCCGTAATGATGCGTTGGTAATTGATAGGCTATAGCTCATTTACTATAAATTTTAGATGCACACTCAATCGAGACGAAATGATCCCCAACAAATTCCTCATCTTTTGGTGAAAAAATGAATCCTATAGGATGAATCAATACCGAGTTATGGCGTTGTAACGAAATTCCATTTTATTGAAAATCAGGACGTTGTACTACAGAATACTATTTTTTGCAAATTTGGAATTGGAATAAGATGAAACTAACTCAATATATCAAACTACGATAATGAATCAATTGAATAGTGAAAAAATTGTAGAGTTACCTACAATGAGTCCGAAAGAAATTAAATATAAAGAGCGCGTAAAAAATGGGCCGTTATACCTACCTACCCAAATTGCGCTGTATTACGATTTCGCGGTATAATTCCTTGGACTGGTAAAGGGCGATATACTTTTTATTTTATTTCATTTCTAAATGGCGTATGGTTCAGACCAACTAATATTGGTGTCTGAAAAATTCGAAACAATATTTCTACAATGTAAGTCACAACATAAAGTTTTGGAGAATTTAGCAGAAATTAAAATCAATTCCCTTCTCAATTATTCCGAGAATCGATGTTGCAGTTGTGGGTCTTTTGATTTAATCAGCAGAACATTCTCTAAAACCATTTCAAATATTCCGTTGAACAATTATTGCGAAATAACAAAAAATTAAAAAAGAAAAATCACTAAACTTTCAAGATGAGATATAGTTCAGATTTCAATATTCAGTTTGTGATTAAGATGATGTATATATATTTTTTGTTATTAGTGTATTTCATTTTGTGATATCTATATATTTTTTTTATTTTGTTATGTTGATCATTTATTTTTTTGTTTGGTTTTGTGTGTGTATAAGGATTCAACGTTTTTTTTGCTTATTTATTCATATATTGTTGTTCTGGGTATTTTGTTATTCAATTCGTTATATTCATTTTTATATCTCTCATTGTTGAGATACATATTTTTTTCAATTATTTTTGTTAGGTTGTGTTCATATGAACTCCACATATTTTGTTCTTTTTAATTTTGATAGTTTGCAAATATATTCAAATCAAACTTTTTTCATGAATTTAACGTTATCATTCAAATATATACTCTTCAGCAGAAAATAATTAATACCGAATAGGCGTTTTTGTGTAATAACACACTCGAGTGATAGGATTTCGAACGTCATCAGAGTGCGTCCTGATCATCTTCAGAGATAAACGCTGCTGAAACCCTTCGAGATAAAGTGGATGTGTATTATACCGATTTGTAGGCAATCAAATTTCCATACAAAAAAGTCAGTGACAGCATATATCCACAGTTGTTAGGATTAGCATGGGAGGCGTCCGAACTTTTTGAACTATTCTGTAATGAACACCTGAATCATCGTTCTACTTGAATTAAAATATCGGTTTGTTGTTGGCCCTTGGGAATTTAAAAAAAAACTCAGTCAATCTAGATACTATGCGAAATCTTTTCATGGTTGAATCATTTCTGTTAATTGAATTTTGGAATTTTGGTAGCTGTTTGAAAAAGGACAATTCTGAATGGCGTCAATTAATTTTCATATGCCATATTTCTGAAATTAATGATCGTAAATCAGTGAAATTTGATTCATCTTCTGGAAAATTCTTTTCTGAACATATTTGACCTCTTGATATTTTTCGCTAACTGTGACCGTTTTCCCGAGGTAAATCAATTAAACGGGAGAGACAATTTCCACTGCCTTGATTTTGTCCCTACTAGTGTGACGTCACGAAAGCGATGCTCCGGCCCGGTAAGATAGAGTAGGCCCTGTTTATATACCATTTTTCGCATGACTCGACGATTTTGATTGAAAGAATCTGATAAAATCAATTATTGTCAATATGAAAATGAAAATCTGAACACAATAATCACAAAATCAAGTTATTTGATTATCATGACTACCGATAAAGAAGAGTAGCCATATTGCTTTGTGTGAACATCGAAAGAGTGTGGTAGCATATTTTCTTATTTGCTTTCCAAAGTTTTTTCAATAAATATTGCAGGAATGTGTGGAAAAACTATTGAAGAAGCTGCTGCAAACATAGTGGTAGATTTATTGCCAGAAAAATCCCGGAAAATTTTATAGCCTAGAGAGTGCCTACTTTGTATACCCTGTATTCCCGCTTTTGTTGGTGTAAAATCGCGTATAGGTCGTGCAAAAACAGTTTTTTTGATATATAGTGAATATTGTACATTATTTATTGTGAGTTGCCCCTCCCTGAGATTATTTCTGCGGACGCCCCTGGTTACGCACGCAGCCGCGGAGCGAATATTGCGAGAGTTTTGTGAAATGAAGAGTCCCCTGGCAAATACCAATGATGTTTTCTAGTAATTCGCATGGTTATCTAGCGAGACATAAATGTGACATCCCAGGGATGTTTGTGTTTACTGGGACGGTACCTACTTCTGCCACACCTTAGTGCACACTTGAACCATTGCATATTGGTATACGTTATTCCATTATCGCCACATATGGGGTCATACTGCATCGTAGCTGGACATCTATCTTCACAAGATGATCTTCTGGTGCCCATACCCGGTACAGCTACACTAGCTACAGTTGTAGTAGTCTCTGTGGTGGCAGGTGGAAAGTCAAAATAATTGTAGTCATTGTGATCATGGATCGTTTTTGCAGGTCGGTCATTATTGTGCCATATTGAACCTAGAACAAGTCATTTTGATATCCTTCTTTATCTATGGAAATTCATATAGATTTTGAAAAATTTTGACATGGTGTAAGTCAGCGGCGTTGATAATATTCTTTCTTGGGAGGTATTGCCCCCCCCCATATAAATGACAAGCGTTTTCTTCAACTGCTTAAATATCTACGTGAATATCTATATAGAAACTCCTGCAGGAAACATTTCATTTTTTGTAGAGGTCGACTAAAATAGTAATTTACGTAACAAGTTCCGAAAGTGATATTTTACGGGATCAGTAGGAACTTTCCAAAACGGGTCCCTTTTAGGTAAGTAAATTCTGAAATCCTGCGAGTCCCGTTTAAATCACTTCTGGTGTTGTTACGTACAATTTTTTTTTCGATAACCATTTTTTTGGATTTGAAAAATCACTCACCAATGTCCTTGATTATATACACTCAAAGCCAATGTATAAAATATGACAAGCACTGTCATAATAAAATACAAAGTTCATGTCATTGTCGCCCTGTATACAAGGTGATCCACTGTGGATGGCCTATTAGAAGTACCTATCTGAAGAACGAAAAGACAGGATATTCTGAAAATTTGGATGCTTCGATAATTGAACATTCTCTATCCGTCTAAAATATTTTAATCGATACAGTGTTGCCACTTCTATCAGAAACAACTAGCAACTTCGTTATTTTGAATGAAGCAACCAGTATTTCATTGCATTTTTAGTTTCTTCTTGGAGAGCTGATTTTATCAATGTTTCACACTTGGGGTCTAGCAGGAATGATTACAGAGATATAGAGGGTATTCAAAATCGAGATTTTTCAATTTTGTGATTTTTTTTTGTGTTGAAACTATTCATTATCCATCAAAACGGCTTACATGTCCCTATCTTAACTTTCGATTCACTATCTACTGACATTTAATTGGAACAGATACAGAGTGATCAGAATTCTGAATCTTGAATCACCCTGTATTTTTTTCAATTAAATTCCAGTAGATCAAAAGTTAAGATAGGAACATGTAAGCCGTTTTGATCGATAATGACTAAACTGGGCGTCAATTGAAACGTTAATAGTGAAATTTGGCATCAAGTTTGACTTCTTGTAATTTCTAAAATATTGAACGAATTTTGAATTTCCGCTCAGATTCTGAATGTCTTTTTCATCGTCTTTCGAACCGTTCCTTACAGCTTCTTCTAAATTGATCAGGACCCGTGATACAGGGTGAAACAAAGTTTCGTGCATTTTGAAAAAAAAATTCTCCGCCCCCCCATTTTGTCAGAAGACCGCAATGCTAATATTTTATTCGGGCATTTCATAAATAGCAACCATACCTCGGGACGTTTTCGAGTTTCTGCCAAAAACTACTGTGGTTTCCGAAAAATAATTTTTTTTTGCATTTTTTTTAAATGGACTAATTTTAGAGAAGTTCCATAAATGGATGCTTTTATGCATTTCAGGAAATCGTTGGAGCAGATATGTATACCAGGTTACTCAAAAACAATCAATAATTTATTACTTCGCAGTCTATGATGAAAGTTTTCTACCTTAGTGAGCAGTAAATCAACAAATACAAACAAGGATACCTGGTTTTTATAGCAGCGTATTGTTGAAACAATGTAGGTATGCATAGAGGTTATATCAATTGCCAATTTTCATGAAAACGTCAGTGTAATTCGGGTCCTAAAAAATTTAAAGATGCCTCGTTCAAATCGGGTCGAAATGGAAAATATCATTAGGTAAGATCACTATAGTGATATAAATTATAATTCAGTACAGATAATTATTATTTCAGGTTACGACGATTGGGATATACTTACCCAAACTCATTTAAGTACCATTTTCAATAAGTCAGTCATGACAATAAAGAGACTGATTCATCGTTTTGGTGATACAGGTAATTAGTCCATTAAAAAAAAATGCTAAAAAAAATTTTTTTTCGGAAACCACAGTAGTTTTTGGCAAAAACTCGAAAACGTCCCGAGGTATGGTTGCTATTTATGAAATGCCTGAATAAAATATGAGCATCGTGGTCTTCCGACAAAATGGGGGGCGGAGAAATTTTTTCAAAATGCACGTGACTTTGTTTCACCCTGTATCATGTATCCTGATCAATTTAGAAAAAGCTGTAAGGAACGGTTCGAAAGACGATGAAAAAGGCATTCAGAATCTGGGCGGCAATTCAAAATTCGTTCAATATTTTAGAAATTACAAGAAGTCAAACTTGATGCCAAATTTCAGTTCAGATGCCAGTTTAGTTTCGACACAAAAAAATCCTAAAATTGAAAACCATTCCTGCTAGACCCCAGGTGTGATACATCGATGAAATTAGCTCTTCAGGAAAAATCTAAAAATGCAAAAAAATACAGGGTGTTCCATTTGAAATAACAAAGTTGCTAGTTGTTTCTGATAGAAGTGGCAACACTGTATCGATGAAAATATTTTAGACTGATAGAGAATATTCAATCATCAAAGCATCCCCAATTTTCAAAATTTTTTGTCTTTCCGTTCTCCAGATACAATTCTAATAGGCCATCCACCGTGGATCACCCTGTATATAGTTTTTCCACAGGACGTGGACACTTGATATATTCTTTACTTCAAAACACTTATTTTAAAGCACCCTGATATTGTATAATTCAATTAAAATAGATGGGTCGCATCTCATTGACTATATTTGACCAATTTTCACAAGGCGTTGAGAAATTCGACCTACAACACTTCTCAGGTGATAGCCTCGTGATTTGATGATGAATTAGAGGTATTAGAACTTGAGATTCTCAAGTGGTTAATTTAGAGGTACAGGTTGAGGACATGAGAAAATAAAAATCACTTCTTAGAGATAATACAAGAATGATCGAATTTATCTTGATCGATTCAGGTAATACCTATATTATTTTGTCTTCAAATACCTCAATTGCTGAAGATAAAGTTTCCTACTCCGAAAAACTTCATCCATGACGCGCCAAATATTTTCTTCGCCACTATAATGCCATTCTGATTCTTTTCAATTTTTCGAATTCTCTATATCTTCGGAATTGAACTTATATTCATTTTTGCAAATGTGGCGCCTTCTTGGTACAAAAAATATAATAAGATTCTACATTGAATCATGAATGTATGTACTTTTTCAAAAAAACTCACCGAATTTGTATTAAAAAATAAAATTCTGACTGATGCATCTGAACTAAACCTTGAAATTGCCTAATCAATATATTTTTTTGACAAAAATCATACCATAAAACCCAGATATTACAATCTAGAACCTAATCATACAGGGTGTCTGTAAAAGGTCTTTACAAAAACATACCACATATTCCCTAGACCAAAATAAGTCGATTTAAGTAAAATTACCTCAGTACAAGGTTGCATCGTTTTGGGCTCCAGAGGGCCTTGAAGTTACAATTTTTAAATCGTATTTCCCATATAAATTTTAAACGGCAAATGAGAATTTGCTGAAATTCGGTATATTGATAGAATTTCATGTGGCAAAAAAATGGTGTTAAAATTTTGTCCAATAATAATACATGGGCGTAGAACCTGATTTTTTAAATAATTGCACCTTGAAAAATTCTACGCCAATGGAAGAAAAGGAGTTTGAGTATGAAATTTAGATTGCGCAACTCATTTACTTTAAAAAAGGTACTCTTGATAAGACTTGATTGCTCTCATGGTTTTGACAAAGTTTGTATTTTAATAATTATTGTTTATGTTATAAAATTACTGAAATGCAAATTTCGTCAAAACCATGAGAGCAATCAAGTCTTATCAAGAGTGCCTCTTTTAAAGTAAATGAGTTGCGCAATCTAAATTTCATACTCAAACTCCTTTTCTTCCTTTGGCGTAGAATTTTTAAAGGTGCAATTATTTAAAAAATCAAGTTCTACGACTATGTATTATTATCGGACAAAATTTTAACACCATTTTTTTGCCACACGGAACTTTATCGATATACCAAATTTCAGCAAAATCTCATTTGACGTTTCAAATTTACATGGAAAAAACGATTTAAAAATTGTAACTTCAAGGCCCTCTTCAGCCCAAACGATGCAACTTTGTACTGAGGTAATTTCACTTAAATCGACTTGTTTTGGTCTAGGGAATATGTGGTATGTTTTTGTAAAGACCTTTTACAGACACCCTGTATATTCTGTTTCTTGGAAAAATCAATTTTGTATGAAAAGTGGGGGTTATTACTTGTGATCATTTATCGGTCGAATTGTGCAACATCCTGTATATAATACCTACTATGCACTTTGGCTATCTTCGGCTTATCTTCTTATTCTATTAAATTTAGTATTTGAAATTTCATGGTGTTTAATTGAAATTGTGGTTTTACAGCTCTGTTCAAGGTGAATTGAGAAATAGAAAATACCTACGCAAATATCAAGTACATACCTTCATAACGATTCATATCGAATTGGTATCTTCTCTGATCATCATCGAAGTGCATTCCATCATCGGGAAAGAAAAATCTTTCGTCGTGGTGTCTATCTGGATGATGATGATGATGGGGGTTACGCCAGTCATCTCGTTTTGAAAATTGGTACCAGTTTTCACCAATAACTGCCTCACAGATTAAAATCACAATGCCTTAAAAATGTAATGGTAGTCAATTAGTCGTTATACAGGGTGACATTGAAATTTCAAACCCTGAGAAAGCTCGACGTATACTATCGAATGGCACCAATAAAATAATATAGGGTACCTATACAAAATGGAATTTGGGGTGGGACCAGGCGCGTAATACAGCTCTGTTCCATGAGGGGGGGTTTTATGAAACAAAGAAGCGCCGCAGGCGAAATTTTGTTGTTGTTTTGAAGGTTGAATAGTATCTTCAAATTGAAAGTTATGTTTGTCAGCGGGGTTCCATAATCGTGGAAAAAAATGATTTTAAATTCAGTTGGAAATTTAATATATCTGAAGGCAACATGAATTGAATTATAAATGTCAATAAGTTTTCTTTGACTTCAAAAAGATTCTTGAGTGATGATACATTTCTGACAACGCAAGTATGAGAATACAACATAAACACCATAAAAAAATTTGTTTACAATTTTGGTTGTCATGCTTTCAAATGTTAAGTTTTGGTTTTGTCGCTGGAAAAGTTAGAGCAAACTTTTTTCGCTATCATAAAAGCAAGATTACAGCGGCTTACGGGATTTTATATACATAAATCAAATTGTCAAAATAAAAAAATTCAATCATATTCAAATTGGTTTTTGGTGACATCCTGGATTTTTTTAAATTTTTTGTTCAATTTGAGGATGTTTCTCGATGATTCTAAGAATGAGGAAAAATCTGATATTTTAGGAGTATACGTTTGACTGACTGTATCATATTATAGATGTGCTGAATAAATGTACTTATTTCAAATTTTCAAAAACACCCCGAATACTACGATGGCGTAGATCGGCATGCGATATTATTTTTCCTAATTTCGTGTTATAACTTGGAATCAGCCTGATTCCGTAATAATTTTGAGTTACGACTCCAAATTAGTAAGTACAGGGCGTACTTAGATTGGGTATATACGTACAGTCGTCTTCAGAAAACATGTCCCGATTGGACGGTGTAAGCGCTCTTATTGCAGCAGTGATTTAGAGAGCACACACCGTCCATGTGCGACATGTTCATTGAAGACGAGTGTACATACATAGAGAATAAGCGATGATATCTCGATCATATACATATTTATAGCTGGAACTATAACCTTCTTAATAGTTTTGAGGAAAGATGTGAGATGTTACATTGACGCAAAAGGTGAATGGAACATTATTTGTTCATTTGTAGAGAATTGAAAAATGATCAACATTTTTTGTAAAATAATATATACCTATATAGAAAAAAACACATAAAATCTCCACGTTTTTTGGCACAATGCTATCGAAATAACGACGCGAGTTCACCTCCTGTGAAGTTGAAAACCTTCAAATACAAGAAATAATATGGCGTTTAATTAAAAAAATATATAAAAACACATTTTACGAAGCCTAAGAAGCGCTCTCATGAAATTGAGTTAGGTAATCGCCAGCAGAAGATAATAAAATGACACGTATGGACAGTGTCAGCTTACTAAATCAGCTCTATAATAAGAGCGCCATTCGCGATAGAAAATAAGTGTACGGCACCTATCGGAGTTCTTGAAAGCTGTCAAAGCGGTCTGTTTACATTATTTTAATTGGTTCAAATTTGTTTTTAGTTTGTGCTTATTAGTCACTACATCAAAACAAATCGCTCAGAAGGGTTCAAGTTGTTGCCGTCAGGTGGGCAGTAGCGTAGTTAGGTAACCACTAACCAAGGGCCCTGGGGCAAATCAAAAAATGGGGTCCCACTAATATCTAAACTGGTTAGGTTTTATCTAAATGTTTTTCAACTTTCCTTTGCCTACCACTATATTGACCGGTACTAAAAAGTTCATTGACATTAGCCTACTAACTCCTGATACAGCATTAACCCTTTCGGTCACCATGGTCGTTAAAACGAACATGTACTTTTCGTGCCAATAGTAAATTGAGGCGACACCTATCATACCATTTATACACCACATCAGACGCGAGGGACCTTTATATCCAATGACTGATATATAGGTAGCACTATCTCTCGGGATATTATACAAGTTTCGCTTATTTACCTTCTGTGTGTACAGTGAGTCAGCTGTTATTGTTCATAAACACATTTCTCGTGTTTGTTTTGATAAAATAGTAAGTGAATTTGAGTTCAAAAATTCATTTTTCAATGCCTCATAATATGTTCATTATAATATATAAGAAACGAAATGATCGAATATCATATTTTTCCATACACTAATTCGAGAAAAATCATATGTACGTTAGAATCAATCAATCAATCAATCAATCCATTTATTGTTTTCTAAAAACTTACAGTTTTATAAACAAGGAGTTTACACAGTTATATCAAATTCCTATGCTTGTAATTGTATACCTATATAAGTACAAAATTTACGTCTGGTATTTTATAAGTTAGAAATAAGCAACCTTATTGAAGATGTGCATTGTACATAGTTTGTGTTCTTAAAAGCAGAGTACTAACGTATCTATCCAAAACTAGATAAGGCCAACCTTGATGAACGACCTACTTGATATATAACTGGACAACAATTAACAATTCAGCGAATAATATATTTAAAAACAGAGCAAAAGTAAGAAGTAGTAGTAACAGTAGCAAGTAGGTATGACCAAGACAAGGGAAACAATATTATAATGATTAAATTATCTTGTAGGAAGGGAAATATAAACATTAGTACTTCACTCATTCATAATGAATGAGCGGAGTTTCACAATGTTACATAAATGGGCAGATATGGATTTAGCAGAAGAAGGCGTGATATTGTTGAGAGTGTCGGCCAAGTTGTTCATGGTTTTCAAAAATGGAGTATTTTGGGGCCTCATAGCAGTGTAAATAGGACAGTCGAACATAATGTGCTGTATAGTTTCGAACTCATTCTTGTTGCACACTGAACATATTTCCTTTGGGTTTATGCGATATGTTGAGCCACGATATGAGAATTTTATAGTATAGTCACTACTTAACCTGAGTTGTGAAATTGATCTAATAACTTGCAGTGAAACCTTCATATGTAAGTAACTTTGAGTTTCATGAGAAAAAGTAAGATATTGGTTGAGGGACAAAAATGTCGAGCGGGTAAGCAGAGAACGGTCTTCATTTTGTAGGTGAGTCAAATATCTGGAAAGTAATGTCTTTTTATTTTGACGGAGTATTCTGCCAGTGATTTCGGACAAAGGTAGTTGAAAGTTTGCAAATTCAAGATGTTGAAGGACTTGCTGGGACCAATTGTATCTTATGTCTGTAGTATTTTTGAGGTTGAGAAGCCTTTCAAAACATAGTCTGGGGAGACGATCATCTTTCATTTCAAGTAATTTGATGAGCCAATTCAAAACCTGCTTGAATATATTATAGGAAATTTTTACTCTTCCCACTTCAAGTCTTATGGCATACCCTGGAGTATTGGCGGACAGGCATAGAACTTTTTTGAAAAAACTGAGTTGGACACGCTCTAAAATTTCAGCAGAACGTAGGCCCCATGTCGGTACACAATGAGTCATCACACTCAGAACAAGCGAGTCCAACAATTTCACCCTAGATTTCCAGGAATTCAATCTAGCTTTAGCCATTATAGATAAAACCGCACCTACAGCTTGTTTACCCTTATTAGCTGAAGTATGTGCCATGTTACGGAAAAATGATGAGGAAGAAAATGTTACTCCCAAATATACGAATTGCCTAACTATTTCGATAGGGTTATTTTTGTATAAAAACCTCGAATTGTTAGTATTATAATTACCTCTAGAAAAACAAATAATCTTAGTTTTATTCTCGTTAACTGTCAAAGCATTGTTATCACTATAACGTTCTAGGATGCTTAGTTTGCGTCCGAGATCAACTTCTGAATCAGCAAAAATTACCAGATCATCCGCATAGAGTAGCATTAAGAGATCATTTTCATTATCAATGTTGATTCCTACAGCACCATTAGAGCGGAAGAAAGATTCAATATCAGAGAGGAACAATGCAAATAATAGTGGGCTGAGCGATTCTCCTTGTAGAACACCGGTTGTGATATCGAAAGATTTCGTGAGGCCTTCGGACGATTTGATTTTCATTTCAGCGTTATCGTAGATATTTTTGAGCAAGTAAATTATCTTAGAACTAACACCAGTAGTGAAAAGTTTCGACCAGAGCAATGTATGGTTGACAGAGTCAAACGCTCGTTTGTAGTCAACAAACACTGCAAAGATTTTCCTTTTTTTGAGCCTGAGATGTAACTGTATTATGCAGTTCAGAGTATATACATTATCCAAACAGCCCCTATCTCTTCGGAACCCAGACTGATTCTCAGGTAGGATTGCATGGTTTTCAATCCAGCTAGTCAACCTGTTAAGGATTATATGCGTAAGAATCTTTGCTGGCGAGTTTACTAAAGCAACTCCTCTGTAATTCGAAGGATCGTCTGCAGGCCCTTTTTTATGAATCATGGATAAAATAATACTACTCCAGCTACTAGGTACAGTTGCAGTTTCTAATATGCAATTGAACAGGCCAGTTAAATACAGAATCCAGTTATGTGGTAGATATTTTATGAATTCATACGTAATACCGTCAAAACCAGGGGATTTGTTGTTTTTACAAGCATTTGTGACTTTGTATATTTCATTGGTTGTGATTTCAGCATCAAGAAAAGGATGACGTGCATCAATATATCGCGTATTATCTATCATGCGTGGGGGATATATTTCAGAATAAAAGTTTTCCCATATTTGTATACTCAGTGATTTCGAAGGTTTTCTTTGATTGAAAGCTTTAATAGTATTCCAGAAGGTCCTAGAGTTATTACTATTATTGAGGGTACGTAGTAGTGATTGCTGAAAAGCTTGCTTTTTAAGCTTGAGCAATTTTTTATGTGAACGCTTCGCATCTAAAAATATTTTTTTACGATCGGCAGAGAAATTTTCATTTTTGAGTTGCTTCAAATGATTCTTCAGATTACGTTTAGATTCAATGCATTCCAAGTCGAACCAAGGCATATTATTAATAATTTTTTCAGATGGTGG